AGATGAAAGTAAACAGTGTTCATATTTGAAAGCACAGAGAATAAAAATATATTGTGGTGGTTAATGTGCAGCTCTTGGTGATTTGGGAGAAGAAGAATGTTTTTATCGTGTTGTGGATTGAATGTTGGATTTTATTTTTATTTGTTGTTTACAGAAAACAGAAGTTTTGTCCACTTGTGGTTTACGATGGAGACTTTGAGTCTGGTCCAGCTGCCTTTTGGGGGTTCTGTCTCTTAAAGAGTATTTACATCTCTCATGTAGGGAGGGAGGACCCATGGAGGGTGCAGACACTGTGAAGTAGTGATGAGGTCCAGGACATGTTTTATAATCATGGGGGTTGCTGAAGGTGTTGAAAGTCTTGGGTGGGGGGTAACAGGTCATTGTTGGTAGAATCCACAGCAGGAGCTGTTCAGGCTGTTGGTGTGCATTGTTGGTGCAGTGGGGTCTTTAGGTTTGTGGTTGGTTCACGTTCTGAGTGTTTTTCAGACAGAAGCAGAGTCGTTAGATGAAAACAGGTTTGGGAAAGTCTGAGGAACTTGGAAAGAAAAGCGTCTGGACTTCTTTAAGTTGCTTGAAGACATTTCACCTCTCACCCGAGAAGCTTCTTCAGTTCTAAGGTCAGATGGCGGAGATTCTCAGATTTAAACCCTAAAAGGACCCCCTGATGATCCTCTACCTAATCACATGAGCCAAGGTGTGAAAATGGGTGTGGGTCACAATCAGCCAGGTCATTGTGAAACCTGGCCCCACCCTATCATGTGATTTCCTGAGGTCAGATGGCCCAGGATGTGAGTGGGCGTTAAGGCGTCTTATAAAGAAAGTGACTGGACTTCTTGTGTAACTCGGTGCTGTCCCTGTTAAAGAGCCAAGAGCCTTTCTTTCCACTTCCTCCATGTAAAGTTTGGCTACAATGGGACACACTGGGGAGCTCACAGCACATCCATGTTTGTGTCTGTAGAAACCCTCGTTGTATTTAAAATATGTGGTGGTAAGGCAGAGGTCTAACAGTGTGCAGACCTGATCAGGGTGAAGCTGGTTCTGGTTTTAAGGAGCTGTCTTGATGTAGTTGTTTCCTGACAGTGTCCACTGCCTCAGTTGGAGGTGTACAAGTGAAAAGTGAGACCACATCAAAGGACACTCTGGTTTCATCTGGATCAAGTGTAAGTTTGTGGACCCTGTTGGTGAAGTCAGCAGAGTTTTTGATGTGATGGGGTGTGTTCCCCACAAGGGGAGCTAGGATGGTGATGAGGTGCTTGGAAATGTTGTAGGTGGCTGAGTTTATGCTGCTACCAATGAGCCTGAGTGGGACTCCTTCTTTGTGT